AGCCCTTCTCCAGCTTTCCTGTAGGCCTCTTTCATGTACTGGAAGGCCACTCTTATGTTACCCCAGAGCCTTTTCTTCTCTGAGTAACCCCAGCTCTCTGAGCCTGTCTTCACAGCAGAGGTGTTCCAGCCCTCTAATCATCTTCACAGCCCTCTTCTGGACCTGCTCCAGGAGATCCATGTCCTTCTTGTACTGTGGGCTCCAGAACTGGGCACACTACTCCAGACGGGGCCTCACTAGAGCCAAGTAGAGGGAAAGGATCACCTCCCTTGACATGCTGGTCACACTCCTTTTGATGCAGCCCAGGACATGGTTCACTTTTTGGGCTGCAAGTGCATGCTGCTGGCTCCTGTTGAGCCTCTCATCAGCTATCACACCCAAGTCCTTCTCCTCGGAGCTGCTCCCAATCTGTTCTCCTCCCATTCTGTATTTGTGCTTGGGATTGCCTTGACCTGGGTGCAAGGCTTTACATTTGGCCTTGTTGAACTTCATGAGGTTGACATAAGCCCACCTCTGCAGCCTGTCAGGGTCCCTCTGGATGGCATCCCTTCCATCCAGTATGTCAACCACTCCATGCAGTTTTATGTCGTCGGCAAACTTACTGAGGGTGCACTCGATTCCACTGTCCGTGTCACTGACAAAGGTGTTAAACAGCACTGGTCCCAGTAGCGATCCTTTTGGGACACCACTTGTCACTGGTCTAAATAATAATTTTGATCAACTGTCTTGGGCTGAAACCTGTTGCGTGTGGCACAAACGGGTGCTGTCTGTGGCTGTTATATTTTAAGGATAGCATGATAGTTCTGTAGCCACCTTGGGTGGGATTAATCTCAATTTATCTTTAGATGTCTGCAGAGTAGATACCCAAGTCTGAGCTAGTTACTTTAGTCTTTGTATAATTACTGAATAGAGGTAGACACTCTTGGACTGTATTTCATCTAGCCAACTGTAGAAATCTATTTTAGACTGAGGTGAATCACCCTAGAAATGTATTTCATCTAGCCAACTGTAGGAATCTGTTTTAGGTTGAGATGAATCACCCTAGAAATGTCTTCTTCCCTCCAAGAGGGACGAGAATGGCTAGTTCAGATGTGGACATCTTTGTGTGGTCAGATGAAGCTCTGCTCTTATGGCTGGTGGAGTTTGACCATAAGCCTTTTCTAATAGATTGTGTTTGTTTAGGAACTGAAAACCTTAGAACTGTTAGTGGAGAAAACAGCTCAGGAATGTGGTATGTGTTTAGAAAATGGTATTGTCAGTAATTAGAAAAATGTAGAGTCTCCCAAGCCTTGTTTCCTAATGCATTGCGTGTGATTTGCACAGAATCTTGCCCAACCATAGGAGTGCAGTTGATTTCATATATCTTTACTTCGTATGCTGCCCCTAAACAGTAGTTTTGTGTAGCTTATTTGCAGTTGTTCTGTTCTTTGCCAACTCCCTTGGGTACTGTAATTTTTTTAAAAAATGTTTTTTCTTGTAGAAAAACACCACAGAGGTTGCAGTTTAGTAGGGTATGGTCTTGTATGTTGGTATAATAAGATAACCATTCCTTAAAATACTTTGTTTGCCTGATTATGAAATATACCAAAATTGCACTAAAGTAATAGTGCTTTATTTCTGATACACTTACTGGGAATGAGCTATTTTGCTTACAGTGTGTTTGTAATGTTTGATTGTTCTTTACTTTTTTACACAGAGAATGATTGCAATGACCGTTTTTACAGTATTAGTTTCATCTGTCCAGATATGCATAATATGCTTCTAAATATTTCTAGTTTTTAATATAGATAAGCATATATGCTCAACACTGAGAGCCAAACATAGGCCATAAATAGACATTTGTTTGAGGAACTATTCACTTACCATTGAAATTTGATTATCACTCTGCCAGGGCATTTGCAAAACTTTTGAAATGAACAGTAATAACTTTTGTTTTCAAAAAGTATTATTTCTCAGTTGGAATTTTATTTGACTTGAAAACCAGACTACTGTAACTAATAGCACTTGGGGTGTTAAACCAAATTTGAATTAAACTGTTTTGAGTAGTTTAAAAATTGACTAATGATTTTGATTTTTCAGGAAAATCAACTTGTAATAACGAGTGGTCTTTCTGGATATTGTTTTTCATTAAGCAAGAGTGCTACGAAATTGGAAAACATTTGATTTTGCTTCATATATTCCGAGGGGTGTGTTTTATATGTAAATGGTATGAAAATGTTTGCAGAAACTGAGAATATAGGAAATGCAACCAAGTGCACAACTGAAAGACAAGAATCTAGCTTTTTCCTATCATAGAAGCACACCTTTTTTATTGGGGGTCATTGTGTCACATTCTCTCTGTGAACCTAAAGATTTTTAAATCCTTTATTTGTCTCTCCCACAATGGTGTAGCTGGAAAAGGAAGGAAATCTTTCATCATAGACTACACAAGGTTAAGACACTTGAGGGAGAGAGTAAGCACCTTGGAATCACCTAGTATTATAATGATAGCTAATATAAAGCCTTAAGAGATTATTTCTAAGCGTTTTTACTGACTTCTCACAACTGACTGAACTTTGTGAACTGTTTCTGTCTGCTGCTTGTTCAATGAGTAGTAGGTTTTAAAGAGATTTGCTCTTTTGTTAAATTCCAAATAATTACTCCTGTACTAAGTTTGGTAGTTCTAAAGCTTTACATTTATTTCTCTACTTGTTTTCTTTTGCATTATGTTTGGGTTTTGTAGTTTGATTTGGTTTCATGTTTCTGTGAGAATCTTAAAGAGGATATAAAAAGAATATATGCTGCATACTGTACATGTCAGGGATCAATCCAGGTTCTTAACCTTGTATTTTTCCCTATGGTCAATGAGCTATCTTACTGGCATTTAGTTGAGGCAGCATCTGACACGGCATTTAGTTTGTCAAAGTGATAGTACTTACGACAGTTTATCATCTCAAAATTGTAGTGTAGAAGTTTATAATAGGTTATTGTGGCTGATAGTCTAAACATTTTTTGCTTTGTTAGTTAAGAAAAAGCAAGAAGGGTGTTGTTAGGAAATACAGAGGAGATAAGTGCGGTATTTGGAATTCGTTCCTGGAGTGTGAGGGAAAAATAGTAGTTATTTTGATAATACGAGGGATAAATTGGAAAAGCTGTAAATGGTGTATTTCATTTTGTTTCTTTAAAGGGAAGTGGTTTAGAAAGCAGGCTGGCCATCTGTGCGCAAAGGAGTATTTAGGTCAGTGGGTCCTTTCTGTCCTGCTTTGTTCCGGGACGAAAGGATCTGTTGTGCTGAAGGCATTCTTGTCTTTGATACATCTAGGTTTCTGTTTAGTAAGTACTCTTTCGTAAATATTCATGAAGTAGGATTATACTGCAATAACTTAATCTAATAATTATAGGCTGCTATGACCTAAGTGAATTAAAACTACTCTTTATAAATAAAATGTTCCTTTGGAATTGGGAGGGGAGGAATGATGTTTGGTTTATAATTGCATGAATTTATAGTAGAAATATAAATTGAAACTATTATGAAGTGATGAGTATCATAAAAATATTTCAGCCATCCGCCATTTGTGCCCTTGTGGTATTTATGGTGTCATTTCATTTAATATATCTTAAATATCCTTGAATATGTTGAATTTGAAGTAACCAAATTTTCTTTATGTTGCAGATGCCCAAAAGCGTTACTTATTTGTCAATTATTTAGTGATTCTTTGAGTTTTCACCTTTTTTTGGAACTTCCTCGTGACTTAATGAGTTAAAGAACTTTCTGCAATAAAACAGGGGCTGACTCGGTGTAGTCTGACTTGGCAGAGAGAGGATTAGTAGAAGACCAGGCAAGCTGTTGTTCAAGTATTAGCCTATTTTCATTTAACTCTCCAGAGTCATATTCCAACAGAAAATGCAAACCTAGGTTTTCTGGTGTAAGATATGCTTACACCCAAGAGGAAAAAAAAAAACATACACGGCGTATCATTCGTTTTAGTGTTTTTACGTATCATTTATGGACAGCAGGCATGCTAAAAAAACCCACAAACAAAAAAAGGCAAGCTCATAATAAAGTAGCCAGTTATTCTTCCTGTTGGATTTTGAAAGCGGTCATCTTAGTTTTTGCCTCCTGCTAAAAGTAGGAGATGCTCACTTGCTTAAATTACCTCTCTCAAACCCTCATCTGTCCCTTCATGGAGTTAATTCTTTACTATTTCTAGATAAACATAGGATGCTACCACTAGGATACTTTCCTCACTAGCCCCTGAAGCCTAAAGGAGTGCCTACATATGCCAAAACAGAGTTAATTCTGATTCTTTACCTAAACATCAACTGAGTGACTCTTTGTGGTAGCTTTGCGTTGAGAGAGGAAAAAATGTCATAGCGCTTAAATACCTCGAGACTGTTTTCTTTTCACAGTAGGTCACTAGTGTTATTTTGCCTTGTGATTTCTCTTCTGTTCCTCCCAGAAACAAAGCAGTTTGCCTTGAGAGGAGAACTGTGAATGGAACTCTGAGGTAGAACTTGATGTGCTTTCAAATCTCTTCTGACTTAACATGACTGATTTTATGTGTAATTGTAGATTATATGTCAGAAAAATAATTATGCCAAGCTTTCACTTTTGGGATGTCCAGCTTGTTAAAAAACCATATTCGCTGTATATTTAAGTTTAATTTAGTGTTAAGTCACAGTATTTTTGATCTGCTAACTAATGCCACGTCTTGTGCTTTTGCAGCAGGGTATTCGAGATGCTGCGGCATTTTAGTCTGCTAAGACTTTTAGGAGAATAATAGGTGTGTATTACATCGCATTGGTGCCTTGATTGGTTTGATGAAATCCTTACAGAACTGTGGGCAGACAGTGTTCTGTACTTGAGTTGTGGCAAGTAGGACCTTTGTGGTTTTTATGTCAGAGGCACAGAAGCCACCCACGAACAATTATTTTTTTTTTTTTTCAAAATGAAAACCAGAAAGGATACGTGGTGGTATAGCTCTTGCTGGATACTGACCTTCTTTCTCATTCACAGGTAATTTCTCAATAGATGGAAAGCCGTGCATTGCTTCTGGAGACCCCAGCCTCATGAATCCAATAACTAAGCCCGCTACCACCACTTCTGTCAATGTTTCTGTGGCGGAGATTCCAAGGAAGCGCAAAGGAAGTGATTCTGATAACCAGTAAGTAAATCAATTCTGTATGAGCAGAAATTTGACACGTTCATCTGTGATTTATGCAACATGGTAACAGTCTAATCCTCTTTCCTTTTTTTACTGTCATTATTTATTACAGGTTCTTCCAAATGCAGTCTCTGACAGTCCCGAGTTATTAAAAACAGAAAAAATAATCCTTAAATCTAAGGGACAAATGTAGCATTCTATAATGCCATTTCCTGTCTAGAAATGTTTGGGTAATGTGTCTCTAATACTGACATTTCAATCCTAACTCTTTCTTTGCCTGCTAGTAAAGGCAAGTTCTCTTTGCAATAAGTTATTAAGTTGCTTGAAGTCTCACAAGTACACACTAGAGTATCACCTTGAGCCTGAAACAAGATTACTGGTTAAGCTCTTTGATCTAGAACTACAGAGTCAGAACTGCTTCTTCAGTGACTGGGGCAGACATTTACTTAAATGTCCAGACAAACCTGTGACCTGAAAATGAGGACTGTCCTATGCTAGTACTTAGTCTTTTTAAGTGGGTCATACATGGCGACTGAGATGATACTGTTGGCTGTTTTCTCCTGTTTTGTAACTGTGAAACAGATGCCAGTTAACCAAATAATTATTTGCATAGGAAAAATGTTTGTTTTTTTTTTAAAGTGATCTATTCAAAACTGTATTAGTCAGAAGTAAGGTACCCGATTCAGCCTGCAGATCTAGTGCATTACACTGTAATTGTCAGCTTTGAGATTCAAGTATACCTTGTAGATCATTGAAAGTTCCAGAACTACATTAGTTTCTGAAAAAAACCTCTCCATTCTTTTCCAGTAGAAGTTGTTGATTTCTAGCTGTTCAGTAAAAGTGCTGCTTCATCAATACTACTTCCCTGAAGTTTGTATCTCTCTCTGATTTCATGAAACTTCTGTCATAAAAAAAAATAATCGTGTCCAAGTGGAAAAGCTAACTGAATAAGTATTATCTTTTAAGAACTAGTAATTAGCTTCAGAAAACTAATGTTCTTGCTGAAAATAACTAATCAAGTGGGATTTCCACTAAAATTTTTCTGTGACTTTTTTCATTGGGTATTATCAAGTCATCCTTTTGGGCCCCAAACTAGGTTTTGCTTACTTTGTTACCTCTTTCTGCAGGGATACAGTTGAAGTTGATGGTGATCCTCAGAAAAGGTACTTCTTATAAATGAATCTGTTTCTGTTTTCGGTGCTATAAACAAGCCACATTTTCCTGTTTAGCTAGATGAGCTGTGTGGTTTGCCTTATGGAATGCTCTGTCTAAGGGCAGGTCTTTGTACAGGCCAAGGTGATAAACATTATAGCTAATTAACAGGATGAATAGGTCCATCTAATGTTGAGGTTTTCTGATATTTGTTTCTAAGACGACACTCTGTCTTTACCAGACTTGTAAGTATTGAAGTTGAAGTAAGAATGGGAACAAATGAAAAATAACAGTTAAATAAGACTAAAGAGGTGAAGGAAATGTCTGGTATTCTTCTAGGACCCGTCTGTGTAAATGATTTTTGTCTGTTTGTTTTAACCTTGTCACCTGCTTTTTAAAATAAATCTACCAAAACTGTGTTAAAATAATCCTATTACAAGGTGACAAACCAGAGTTAAGGTAGCTGTGCTGCATAAGTAAACCCTTTGTTTATATATGTTCTGGGATAGTTATGAATGACATGATTATTTTGTTGTGATTTCTTTTTCTGCACATGGTTACCTTACTTGGAACATATGTTTGTTTATATGTAGCTGTACAGTACTTTTTTTTTTTTTTTTTTTGTACATAGAATAGAATATTCCAGTTGAAAGGGACCTACAACAATCATCTAGTTCAACTGCCTGACCACTTGAGAACTGATCAAAAGTTAAAGCATGTTGTTAAGGGCATTGGCCAAGTGCCTCTTAAACACTGGTAAGCTTGAGGCATTAGCTGCCTCTCTAGGGAGTGTATTCCAGAGTTTAACAACCCTCTTGGTAAAGAAATGCTTCCTAACGTCGAGTGTGAACCTCCCCAGGAGCAGCTTTGAACCATTCCCATGCATCATAGAATCATAGAATTGTCAGGTTGGAAGGGACCTTAAAGATCATCTATGATGCTCTCATAATTGTCATGAGGTAGAATTTCACCTGATGTTTTAGTTTTAATCTAGCTATTTTTATTGGTAAAAGCACAGCTGTTAGGACAGAGGCCATATAAGTCCATGGAAGACTGTGACTGATTGCTTGAGCAGCAAATTTGTTCTAATTTCTTCCCCAAAGGGAGCTCCTGAGAGAGAAGAAGAGTTAGTTAATAGGTCATGCGCTACATTGCAGTTGGTCTGGTTCTCCATTACCTCTTCTCTTACAGCCAATGTAACTCCTATTGGAGTTCATAGTATGTGTACGTTCGTAGTAGAAGTGTCTTACAAAATAAAACAAAAATATTAGTTATTGCTAACTCATCTAAACCTGAAACAGTTTCACAAAAGAAAAGTCCTAGTTTCTTGTGAGCCCAACATACATGCTTGGGTTTATCAGACTGTTTAGAAGAATCCTGGGTTCCAGTGAAACCCTGGGCAGAAGAGCTGGGTCTCTATGTCATGTGTTAATTTGGCTCTGGCTGCTGCATACTCCCTGGGGTCAGTGCTTAGTTACAGGTGGAAGCAGCTTTTGAGGTCTTTCCTTAAGCTGTGATTTCCAGCTGTCCTTTTGCTTCCTACTTCCATTTCGTCATAGGAGACAGCCACTGACTGACTGACCTGTCTCCTTATAATCCTTCTGGTACAACATATGCCGCTTCTAAAATGGTCATAGTCTAGCAGGTCATTTCTCTGGAATGGAGTTTGCAGTACTGCGTGAGATGTTTCCATTGCTGAATTAAAGAAAAGCTGAAGAACTGCTGTAGAAAGATTAAAAATATTTGCATTATTTTTTCTTTTTTTAAGAAAACAGTAGCTAGTGTTTGTATAGGAACTGCCTCTCTGCAAGTACCAAATTGCTCATACTAAATTGGTAAGATAAATATTAGGCTGTGTTCTGAAATTCTTAATAGATAGTGGCGAAGAATACAGTGATCTTAGGGGAGAAAGGTCATTGCCTTTGTTTGAATCATCCTTTATATTTTCCTGCTACGAAGTATTTTGTGTCACATAGGCACTATTGATTGTCTTTCATTTACAATTTTATTACATAGGCTTTCCAGTAATTTCTGTGTGATATGGAAAAATATTTAATTTTTAGTTTTTGTCATCGTAGAATCATAGAATGTTCAGGGTTGGAAGGGACCTCTAAAGATCATCTAGTCCAGCCCCTCTGCCAGAGCAGGATCCCCTAGGGCAGCCACACAGGAACGCATCCAGGCAGGTTTTGAAAGTCTCCAGAGGAGATTCCACAGCCTCTCTGGGCAGCCTGTGCCAGGGCTCTGTCACCCTCACAGTGAAGAAGTTTCTCCTCATGTTGAGGTGGAACTTCTGATGTTCTGACTTAAACCCATTATTTCTTGTTCTATTGCTGGGCACCACTGAAAACAGATTGTTTCCTTCCCCTTGACACCCACCCCTCAGATATTTATATATGTTAATAAGATTCCCTCTCAGTCGTCTCCTGTCAAGGCTAAACAGCCCCAGTTCTCTCAGTGTCTCTTCACAGGAGAGATGTTCAAGTCCCTTGATCAGCCTCGTAGCTCTCCATTGGACTCTCTCCAGTAGGTCCCTGTCTCTCTTGAACTGGGGAGCCCAAAACTGGACACAGGATTCCAGGTGTGGTCTCACCAGGGCAGAGTAAAGGGGAAGGAGAACCTCCCTAGACCTGCTGGACACATTTTTCTCAATGCACTCCAGGATCCCATTGGCCCTCTTGACCACAAGGGCACACGGCTGTCCCATGGACAAATGATCATGAGCAACTAAAGTGTAGTTTAGGCCCAGTCTAGGCTAGGGATTGCTTTTTTCATCATTTGACAATAAGACCTTGGATGTAAAAACATGAGTAGTTCATCTCTCATGTAAAATTTTAAATTAAAAAAAAAATCAAGCCTGAACTTAAGTTAGTTGAATCTTCCATTATTGTACTTTTCTCCATAGCCCTGTAATTATGAAATATCTCATAAGAAGTTCACATAACCATGAATATTGGAAGTTAAGCTTTGGTCCCTTTCTATTATGCATCACTTGGTAGGTCATCTTTGGTTTAGGAATTTTTGTGGGCTTTTGTTAGAGTGGTAGTAAATTTGTTTCATTTTCTACATCTTGAATTCACGGGAGGAAAGAAGTACCTAGTATTAAATACGCAATGTAAAACTCTATATCTTGTTTTCTCTAGGAGTGAAGATGAAGAACATGTTAAAATAAAAGATTTCAGGTAATAATTTGCAATAAAAGTATGTTTTTCTAGTAAATACTAGTATTCACAATAGTAAAATAATGAGATTTGGGCAATGTTCATTAAAACTGTCAAATATATAACAGTAAACTTTTCCTTTCCCTCCCCCAAGCGTATAGCAGTTTTTAGAGGCTCCTTGAGGATTTAATTTACTACTGATTGTAATGAAAGTTGCGTTGCAGATAGTTTAGCAAAAACTGAGGTTAAAATTTTCAAAGTGAGAATTAAGTGCAATGCACTCAAGTCATATAAAGGGAAGAGCTGATCCTCAGTCTATGAATTTGAAAATTATTTATCCTAGATTTTACTACACTTGGAGGTATTTAGAACTTGTCCTATGTGAAAAAAGATTCAGCTAAAGCATGACCAAGAATTCTTGTTCTGGAGCAAGTTTTTCTGTAGGGAATTATTCAAGGTTTGCCATCGCACGTTGAATTCACATCTTACCTGAATAGAAAATGAAATTCCCATAGAGCACTTGTAAGATCTGAAATCCTCTATGACTGAATCCAGTCATGATTCATCTAAACAAATATTTTAAACTATAGAGAAGCCACTTAAAGCAGAGCTGGTTTATGAGGTTGTTTTAGAAATGTTTTTCGTCATGTGAGCAGAGATGTCAAAGTAGAAATACATAATCCATTCTGCTGTCAAAAGCATTATTTATACAGTATGCTAACTAGTAATTATGAAGCGTTCCTGTAATTTAAAAAAAATGAAAGAAGTCAGTGTATTAAAATGTATTTACAGGGGTTTTTTGTTTAACTCCAAACCTCATTTTTCTTTACCGAGTATTCCAGACTGCTGTATAAGATTCTGTTTTGTACATTGCTTTAATAACTTAAGAAAAAACCTAACTATATAATATTAAAGTTTTGCTTCATTAGTTGGAGGAAAAAATAATTTGAAGACTCTTCGAAGGTTTGCTTAACAGTCATTATCCCTTCAGTATCTCTTTTCTCAAGCTTATTGGGGAGCTTGCTTTTCTCTGTTCTTTGTAAAGGAGAAGGTAACAGAAGACTTTTAAATGATCCAGTTATCACCTGAATTTCTGCATCCACCTGTTCATATTTCTGTAACTTCTTATTGACTCTTAGAGATGGGAAAGACTGTTCTCTTTCTGCAGATGTTTGTGTCTATCTTCCTGAGGCTCTAAGTTCAAGGAGTACACATGATATATTCATGTCCTACCTGACATGAAGGAAAAGTTGGGTGAACCTGTACAGCTGAGAATAACTGTTAAAATTGGTTTTTTTAAAAGGCTTCATAGAGAGAAAAGCTGATTTCCTGGATGAAGGACACAGAATTGTTTGTGTGGACTTATTTGGGGGAGAAATAATAATTGAAGCCTAGGTTTTTAAAACTGTACTTGGTTCTTTCTCAACAGGCCCAGTGTTGTTAACTTTATTACCCTTAATAACTTCTGTTATGGTATGCCTAAGGAAGAGTTTTGGAGAAAACAACCAAAACTTATCCCTCAGTTTTGTTAACTGCTACTATGTTGGGTCTCCATCAGAAAGGAAAATAGTCATTTTGGGTGGCTAGATTGTCTTCTGGCTAAGAAGTGAATAGAATGAAATAAACTATCCTTGATATGCTAGTGGGTGCTAAGGGAAGATCAACTAGAAAGCTAACATACACCACAAGAAAAAACTAAAGAAAAGGTGACCTGAGATATAAATATATTTGTGACGTGCACCGTCATATGCTTTAGAAGGGGTTTTCTGTTTAAACCTATCCCAGAAGAGAAGCACTCTTTCTGTGGTTGAGTTCTTGGCAAAGGCTTACCAAGAAATGAAATGTGAGACACAAGGTGTGCACAGGGACCGAAACCCTTTTAACCACCTTCTCCAGTGAATAAAGGGAAAAACTTTCTAAAATATCTCTGCTGAGATTACATGAGGCATAGCTTGTCCTTTCAGTTTCCACTGTGTCTCTGATAAGCGCATATAAGTGTGTAGTCTGTTGCTTCTACTCTGCTATGAATAAATGCTTATGTTTTTGTCTGTGTTAAATCTGAGTAATTTTTAAGGTAATCCAAGATCAGCAATGTGTTCTTGTTATCTCATTCTTGTGAGTGCATGAAACAGAGCTCAAGGATGCTTTAGCAAGTGCTGAGGGCGCTTTTTTTTTTTTTATGTAGCAGAATATATACCCCATCTTAGGTACACAGGTCAGGTAAAAATAGAGCAGGGAGCAGAAATGTCTTCTAGTGACTACTAATGACATTAGAACTTCTCTAGTACACGGTAAAGTGTCAAGGTATTCACTTGGATGTCAAGGTTCACAAGAAGAATTTAACTTTTCTAAGTCTTCGTAGCCTATTGTTGCTGCCACATATAATCAAGTTATTGCTTGAGATTTTTTTTTTCTCTTGGTATTTTTTATTATTGTTACCATTTCTGCTTTGTTAACTAAATGTAATTAAGTTGTCAAACACAAGTCATGTATGGAAAAGTATTTCAGCATAGTAATACTTTTTGTGGTAAGTTCCATTCCCAAAATTGAATTGATAAATGTTATTGAAAAAACAATATGTTCTCTATCTTTCTTAAAATATTTTTTTCTTCTTAGAGAGGCCCACAGTCAAACAGAGAAACGTAGAAGAGACAAAATGAATAATCTGATAGAGGAATTGTCTGCTATGATACCTCAGTGCAATCCCATGGCACGAAAGCTAGACAAACTTACAGTGTTACGGATGGCTGTGCAACACTTAAAATCTTTAAAAGGTAGGTTTTCGTAACCCTGAAAGGGATTGTTTGGTCAGGAGTTGTACCGTGTATCTTCTTTGTTAAATAAATCAAATGTCATGTATTTAATATTTTCTTGCTGAATTCAGTTCCAAGTCTGTTCTTCATTTAAATTTACATGTTTGTAATTTCCAGAACATAATTTCTTCTTTTTGCTTAGTATTGTAGGAAAAAAGCCACCCTTCAGTGTCTGATATTTTCCGTCTGCTAAGGATATGCCTTGCAGTTGAGTCACTCCTTGGTTCTTTTTAAAAATTACAGTGATTAGTCAAGACCGTCTTCATTCACAGAATCATTAAGGTTGGAAAGACCTCTAAGATCCTAAGTCCAAACATCAACCCAATACCAGCATGAGCATTAATACAGGTCCCGAAAATGTGTATTAAACGTGTATTCTCTGATCTCTCCGCTTCCCATCATACTTTCTGTAACAGTAGCACCTGTGGTGCTGTACCAACGCCAACAGCTCTGATGCTAATAGAGAAGCAAATAGTCTTCAGACTCCTGTTAGTGATTCCCACTTTTGTGGTTGTATCAACCCTTTGTCTCTGTATTGGAATTTCATGTTTATCTGTTGACTTTGAAATGTACAACATCATGGAAGAAGACCATTTAAAAAACCCAACAAAACCAAAAAAGAACTGAAGTTGGGGAAGGCTTTAAGTTGAAGGCCAAGTCATTTATAAACCCTCAAGTACTTCCACTGAGTTGTTTGTCCACTATGAGATTAGAAAAAAGTCCCTTGCCAATGAGAGGCTATGCTGACACTTATCGAAAGAAACTGGTGAAATTAGTTGCACTGGTGGGGAGCACAGAGAACTCACTTCAGTGAGGTTAAGTCTTTTACAGTGTAACTTCATAAAACCAAAACCAGTTGCATAGAAGTCAATAAAACATTACATTTGGACATAATCATCTTTTGTTGCCTACAAGAAGAGTTGTCAAAAGGGATGTTGCAAAATATACTTTAATAGAATAGTTGATGGGTTTGATTATGCTAAGGACTTAAACGCTGTGAAATGTTAGAAAGTACCAAGCAAAAGACTTATCCGAAGTGTATACCCTCCATCAGATAGCAACATTAAAGTCATCATGGATCTCAGTGACTGGTTTAGTGTCAGTGTCAAACCAGGATATATTCTTTCCTCTCCTTTTGCTATTGCTAGGTTTTGGGATTTATTTTTTTTTCCTCACCTAAAAAATTTACATACAAATACAGCCTGCATATCATGTGGTTGCTCAGCAGCACACAAGATTTCAGGTTTTTTGGCAGTACTGTTTCAGAATAACAATTTGATCAACTGTAAGCAAAGGTCAAAGACTGTGTGCATTAAAACAACCTGACTATGAATAAACATACCTAATAAGAATTATATTAGTCTTAAGTTAAAGGAGTTTAGGAAACAAATTATGCTGGTAACTCAACAGGAATAGAATTGTAGAGTGACTTAGACTGGAAGGATTTTGTAGAGGCCCATTGGACCAAACAAGCTGAGAGTTTTGCATTAAAAAATCTTGAGAAAGTAGCAGAGTAGTAGTTTCATTTGCAGTTTAAACAAGCATCTACAAGAAATCTTCATCTCAAACACTTGTGTTTTAGCAATGAGACACAAAACCTGGACTCCATCCAGCACAGTTGCTACATGTATCTTCAAAACAAATGCTTTAAGAAAAGAGAATCATAGAATCATATTAGGTTGGAAAGGACCTTAAAGATCATCTAGTTCCAACCCCCCCGCCATGGGCAGGGACATCCCCCACTAGATCAGGCTGCTCAGAGCCCCATCCAGCCTGGCCTTAAAAACTGCCAGGGATGGGGCTTCCCCCCCCTCTCTTGGCAACCTGTGCCAGTGTCTCACCACCCTCATGGGGAAGAACTTCTTCCCAACGTCCCATCTGAACCGATCCATCTCTAGCTTCAGTCCATTCCCTCTAGTCCTGTCACTGCCCAGCCCCTCAGGAGCTTTCTTGTAGCCCCCTTGAGATACTGGAAGGCCACAACAAGGTCTCCTCAGAGCCTTCTTTTCTCCAGATTGAACAACCCAAACTCTCTCAGTGTGTCTTCATAGGAGAGGTGCTCCAGCCCTCTGATCAGCCTCGTGGCCCTTCTCTGGACACGCTCCAGCATGTCCATATCTTGTAGTATCTAGAAGATAACTGTGTGGAATGCTGAAATTTACTGGAAAGTTCAACTACTATTTACCTCAGAAAATATTGAGCAAAACATGGAAATCCTTGTAATGGTTAGAAGTTATTTTAGAGTACTTGCCACAGGTGCTAAAACAGTAAATGTAGGGAGTCATTCTCACTACGTTTAGTGTGGCATTAAATTCAACTACAACAGAGTGGTGTTTTGATTGTTGGATGCATAGTACTAATGAAGCATTATTCATGCCAAGAGACAATTGCTAACATTGGAATTATTCAGATTCCAAATCTTAAGGATTCTCAAATAAGCATACAAAATGTTTCTAGAAAATTCAGATCTTGTAATACCATTTCTCTAGCAGCACATTAAAGATATCTGAACAGAAGTTTTTTTATTTTATGCAAGTTAAGGGCAAGAAAAAAAATCTGTTTGTGTGCCAGTATTCATTACCAGCATGTGTTTATGAGGGGTTTTTATTTCTGATATTTTTAGAATTTTTAAGCGTGGTGGTTTTTTTTATTGAGCTGTTGTGGTTGCAAAGAAAATTTGTAAAATACAAAGGAAGTATAACTGTAACAGGTAAATCTAAAATGTAACTTTTGACATTATATCTCGAGATAATCTATTTTCCAGGTTCCACTAGCTCCTATACAGAAATCCGGTATAAACCTTCATTTTTAAAGGATGATGAGCTCCGACAGTTAATCCTTAGGGTAAGTGGAAGGAAAGTCTCAGTTAAGTGATGTCTTTATTAAGGCTTGCCATTAACTTGGGTATTTAGTTGGAGAGGGCATTTTTTCCCCATCTTTTTCTTCAAGCAAATGCTTCCATGTATATGATAAGTACTGGTTTATGATCTGTGTCTACTCTTCAGGCTTTTTCATAAGCAGGTAAAGAAGATGATTTGTGAGCATGGCAGACAGAAACACTTTAAGGGATGATAAATCAATATACAATCTGCATATCCTATTTAATACAAATATTTTTTGTGTCTGTGTGCAAGTACAGGGAATGCTTTTAATGATGTATGAATTCACTTGCTGTTGCTGGCTCTTCTTCATTTAAATTTTTTAAGATGTACTTTGAAAAAGATGTAAAAATAATACCCAAATAAAATCTATCTTATTGTTTTCATGCTTCATTATATACCCATGCTTCTTTACCCTTTCTCATTTGCAACTATTTTCTCTTTTCTTTGCTGCTATAACAGACTTTCCCAAGATCTATAAGGTGACTCCCAAGTTAAGCTGCTTTTGCAGCTGACTACCTCTTTTCTCAAAGCTGCATTTAAGAATCTTTATCTGTCTGTAAGGGAAGGTCTGATTTGATCCTTGCAATCTTAATTGCGTTTTGGTGTGATTTATAACTTATTTAATTTAAAAAATCAGATTTAAAAGTATGCCTCCTTGTAGTCATCAATATTCGTTGTATGTTTCTAAAGACAGTATCTTTATATTTTCAGGCTGCAGATGGATTCCTGTTTGTGGTCGGTTGCAACAGAGGAAAAATTCTGTTTGTCTCAGAATCAGTTTGCAAAATACTTAATTATGATCAGGTGGTTATAATTTTCTTTGCTTGCTTTTACCTTGTGTTTTCTTATAAATCTTTACACTTTTACATTTTATTTTGTATTACTAAAAAACAGTCTTTGTGTATCCTTTGTTGGAATTTCTTTGATTTAACCTTCTTCAGAGTAAGACTGAATATACTGGAACAAAATATTTGCATGTATAGTCAATGTTCTTGACCTGAGTAATGGCACCATTTTTCAGTTGCTCATCCTTAAGAAAACTCCTAGTCTGAAAGGATCATTTTCTATTTCCAAGAGATTTTCTTTTAAATGCTAAAGTGATTTGGATTTGTGTTTGTTTTTTTTTTATTTTATGTGGATTTTTTTTTTTAGGCCAAGGAAAATTGGTAGTTCAGCAGTGGAAGTTAATTAAAGCTTTCCTTGGTAGTGCCTTTATGCTCAGAAGCAGTAGGTAACACCTCATCCACAATAACTGTCTGTGTATATGCTCTGAACTTGAGGGAGACTGAGATAGTGTGAGATCTGTGAGATATCTTAGTCTGTAAAATAAGAGAAAAAGAAAAAAATACAAGTACCTACCATTAGTTGACATTTGGCATCATGAACAATTACCACAAATAATCAAGGCATGATAACTTGTTCATGTATTTATGACTTGTGTTCCAAAAACAGAGGCTAAAACAGTTAGTGCTTCCATCTGTCTACTTCTGTAACTTTGAAACATTTGTGCTATATTCATTTTCTTCATAAACGAAAGGGTAACCAATCTGGACCCTGTTTTATAGAGATTTTGAAAAAATATTTTAAATTAAAGAGAAATGAATCATCCTACAGGAACAGCATAAAACACGTTTGGTTTTTTTTTTTTTCAAAGTTCTACACTGAATTTGCTTAAGGACTAAAAAGTACTTTTTGAGGTCCCTCACATCATATGTACTTACTTCTAGACACGTAAGATCTTTGCTAGTTCGGCCAGAGTGGGTCAGAAAACATGTCTGAAACAGGCTGCCCAGGGAGATGGCAGAACCTCCATCCCTGAAGACACTCAAGGTCAGGCTTGATGAGGCTCTGAGCAGCCTGATCTAGTTAAAGATGTCCCTGCTCACTGCAGGGAGCTTGGATGAGATGACCTTTAAAGGTCCCTTCCAGCTCAACACATTCTATGACTGATTTAACCCATGAATTTATTAGCTTATTTGGGAATAATTAGGGAGTTGGATTATGAATCTCATCCTGCAGCCTAATCTGTTTGCTATACCTATATATTTTGACATGGCTGCTGTTAGCCCTTCTCAGTGGCACTCAGCATTTTCCTTTTGCATTAGGGTTAGATGAGGACTGGGCAAATGAAAGAGGCTGTATGTTTATGCTTTTTTAGAAGCTTGTCATTAAACCCATTTCTGACTCTGACTTGTTGGAAAAGTGCTCCCCTTTACGTATGCAGCGCTCACATAGGAAGTGGCATGGGCGCAATTTGAATCTAGAATACTGCTTGTCAACACATCTCCTTTCTACCCATTGAGTTGATTTGCTGTGGTGAAGGTAAGCAATGACAAAAACAAACCCAGCCCACTTCTGGGAGAATTGTGTCCTTTTTTATCAAAAGAAAGTAGCGCTGCCCGCAGTAGTGCAGCAGACCAGTTACTCTGGATGAGGAGTCAGGAAGGTGAATGGATTACACTTAGAGAGCTTCCTGTGAGCTGACCCCTGTTGCAAGGCAGCTCCTGGTTCAGTGGTGCCATTATGTCCAGCCAAAGTGGAGCTCAAAGTTATTAGATAGCATGGATATTTCTTCCTCTTTTCTTTATCTCCCAGTAATCTGTAAGCGGAGTTACTCTGCACATAACCTTCTTTGGCCAGGATCAGCAATCATATTATGCACATAACTAAAACATACATTTTACAGAACTTTTTTTAATATCCAACCAAATATGCTATTTTTCAGAGGAGAACTAACAAATTATGGGTTTACTACTCTGTTTTTATAAAAATAATATGAAACTATAGGAAATTAAGTGTGGGTCAAAATACTGATGTTCAGAATAGCTGGGGCATTTGATTGTTTTTTTAATGGCGTAGAAAGTTGTTTTTCTGAGAAGTCTTATGTGTGGGGTCCTATCCTATAATAATGATGTTCTTATTTATTTTGGGTTTGTTTTGTTTATTTTTAATAGGCTAGTTTAATCGGACAAAGTTTGTTTGATTACTTGCATCCAAAAGATGTTGCAAAAGTTAAGGAGCAACTTTCTTCTTCAGATGTCTCTCCCAGGGAGAAGCTCGTAGATGGGAAAAGTAAGTTGTATTTGAATGTGCTCATAATTTTTTTTAATGAGATGTTAATAAATCTGGTTGTTACAAAGGACATGTTTATGTGTTCATATGTGCATAGATGTACAAATCTGAGGTATAATTTCTATGAACCAAACATATTTGAATGCTTATGTGCTGCTTAGAATGCTCTTACAGTTTAAAAACTAGCCCAGAAAAGAAGATAATTTATTTTAGATACTAGGAATTACTGAAATTTGCATTGTTAAACATTTACCAAGATGTGGTCTGATGTTCTTCCTACCAGGCATACTACTTTTTTTTCTTGTATTTGATAGGTCTTGTCAATACAAAAGACCTGATGTAGTCGAACATGGGATAAAATACTTCAATATCAAGAATCACTGTCTTCTCTGAAAATGCTAAGTGTCAATCCTAATTTAACCAAATCTTATTTCGTTTACAGTTGTTTCTAATATGGAAAGCGTTATGTACTGTGCAGCTAATGACTATTTTATAGCTGGCTTTTATAAGCTCTTTGCAGTTCTTCCCTGTACCAAATAGAAACTGAAAGTTTATAAAGCATGTTTGTTAAAATTCAAAATATCAAGAAGCATTTAAAAATAGTTCGGTAGTTCTTTTTAATTTTGGAATCCGTGTGACAGTCACGTTTCTTTGCCCTATTAAAGTTATTAGACTTATTTTTAATTGTAAGGACAAAATTTAGGCAACTAAACAGTAAGGAGAATGTACTGGAAGATAAAATGAAGAGAAGGCCTTGTATTCTGAAGTCTTAGTGTTGAATTTTGGTTTGTTAATTACTTTACTGAATTTTTGTAAGCTGGCTTGCAAGTACACACAGATTTTCAAGCTGGACCAGCTCGACTGAATTCTGGTGCTCGACGTTCCTTCTTCTGCCGGATAAAATGTAGTAGGACCACAGTCAAAGAGGAAAAGGAGTGCTTGCCCAACCCAAAGAAGAAAGGTATTCAAACAGCGCGGATGAAATCAGGGCTTTCTGTCTTGAACCTTACTATATTTAAGTTCCGAGTCAGTAGTGTGAGCCTTGTAGTTACCGCAAAGTGGCTGTAGAGAAGTGAAAATATGTACTGGAAACACAATTTGAAAAACAGTCGAATTGTACTCTTTCTCCTCCCTGTTCGCCCCTGAAAAGAGGAAGGGAGGAACCTGGGTTACAGTGGATGTTTTAGGAACACTTGGTCTGTTGTAGTCGGAAAGCTCGGGGAAATCTTTGAAAGCACTGGAGCAGATGAGAAGAATGAGACTGAATAACGTATGTCTTGAAGATGACTGTGTGAGTAAGGCCTGCAAAATCTACTGTTTGGAGGAAAAAAAAAGCGGTTGATAGGAAATAAAATCTGTGTGCAGCATATTTTGTTCAGAATACAGAGATCAAGAATACTTTGGCGATTTTTGAAAGACTGCACGACAGAATGTTATCTCTGTGCCTTGATACATATGAGGGTGATTGCATGTTACATAGACAGCAAAGAGTCTACCAGCTATAAAAAAAAATGAGTAACAGTATGCTGGAATCGAAGACTTTTAAAATATTTGTGTTCCCAGAAAAATGAGAAATTCAGAAGCCTAATAAGTAGAAAATAAGCTGGGGCGGTTTGGGTTGTTCTCTTGAGGGATTCTTTAGCAATTGCAGTAAGCATGTGTTAAGATCATTATGTTCACAAGAGGTAAATTGATTTGGAAGCTACAGCATACATCTCAAGTTTATTTTAATGTACAATACATATGAAAACATATAAAAAGTGATCTCAGGGTTAACAGACTATCAATTTACTTTTATTTCTGTGAGACTGTTTGAACTGCCAACACCTATGACTTATCCTCCTAAATCTTATAGGGTTAGAAGTGCTCTCTACAGGTAAGCCAAAAATAGGTAGTGCAAAATGAATTAAAAAGTAGTCTTTATCTAAAGCCTTGTACGGTTCTTGTAGGTAAGCATAAAATATAGTTATAGGTCTTGTGATGAACAGAATTTTGAAAGGTAGTTTCAGTTTACTTCTTGAACCGTAACTGCTGCTTATTTCTTTTTATTAGATCACAGAAAATACTGTACCATTCACTGTACTGGGTATATGAAGAACTGGCCTCCTAATGAGGTGGGAGTAGAAGAGGAGAATGATGTAGAAAAGGACAGTAGTAATTTTAACTGTCTTGTTGCGATTGGGAGATTACACCCTTACATTGTTCCACAAAAGAGTGGAGAGATAAAAGTCAAAGCAACAGAATTTGTTACACGATTTGCCATGGATGGAAAATTTGTTTATGTAGATCAGCGGTAAGCGTCTTGTTCTTCAATGAAGGGAGAATGAAAATAACACCACTAGTTAAATTTTCTAATACTTTTTCTCAGATCTGTAATTTCTTAAGCGGGATAGAATTTCTAAGTGCTGTTCGAAGGAAGTGGTTAATTTTTCAGCCTATGAGTAACTTGCGCCCTGTTTGTTGGTTGGTTTTTTTGTAAAACATAAAGCATAGTGTATTAAAAGTAAGTGTATTTTTCTACAGGAAAAGGTGAGCTAGCAAGATTAAAATATGTCATAAAATACATTTATGTACTTACTTGTAAAAAAAAATCTTGTTAGAGTTTCATGGTTATGTGTATGTCTTAACCAAAAATTACTATTTCTTAAAATCTTACTTTTTGGAACAAATACATTATATCTAAATAAGGTACTAAATATGTCATTGGAAGTGAAAGCCAAGTTCTTGTTTTCTGAACTTTCTGAAACAGACTTTTATTTATTGTAGAGACTGAGTTACCACTTTGCATTTTGAATTTCATTATTGTCACTGGAAGCTTTTTATTGCTTTCAGTCCTCTTGTCCCTCATCTAAAAGGGTCAGTTTAAAGCTGTTCCTTCAAGTGGCAGAACAGATTTCAGCTACTGAATTTTTTAATGGCACCTTATGTGTGACCAATAAGCTGATTGGCTAATGGGAAGACCTAACGGTCGTAAGTGTTTTGTGTGTATGTGGGGTTTGCACCTTTAAACACTGTTATTTTGTCTTTGGATTGCTGAGCATGGCAAATGGATAGTTTGCAGTGACTGTTTCCTATTTTTTTGGAGCTATACTCATGCTGTATCATTTTTCCCAAACATGAACCACAGGCATCTCTTTCTTTAAATATTGATTTTCTGCTTTTTCTGATACTAAAGAAAACAAGCTTTGTAATTGTTTGAATCCGCTGTAGTTCATGTTTTTATTTCTGACAGTGCAACAGCAATTTTAGGGTATCTGCCACAAGAGCTTCTAGGAACTTCTTGTTACGAGTACTGCCATCAAGATGATCACAACCATCTAGCTGAAAAACATAAAGAAGGTACAAAATAATTGGTCCTCCCAGCCTACCTGCAACTGCATGTAACTGCTGTGTGGAAACACTGCAAACCAAAAAGTTGGAAGCTGAGAGTTAATAAAACTAAACGGTCTTAGCATTGTCCTTTTCTACATCTGCAGTAAGACATGCCACCCTAAGGCTTGTAATAAAAGCAGGGAGAAACTTACATTGTCTTGGATCTTGGCGCAGTGCTTTAACTGCAAGGGGATCATGTCAATGCTGCTTTCAATCTCTGCTGCAGTTCCTGATAAGAATTGGGAAGAAATCCTGAAGCGAAAGTGCCTAATCATGTAACTAAAGACATCAATTATGAAAATTCACTGAGTCAGGAGTCTTCCTAGTAGCGGCTTTCCTGAAACTTAGTAATTGAGCTTTAATGTAGGATTAATAACGCTGCTGAAACAATAGTTTGATTTCAGTAGGGGTTCTGTCCTGTCAGTTGTGGTGTTTAATTTCTATTTCTGACCAGCAAAACCATATTTTTTTAACTTTATCTTTCTAAGCATAAATATGGTGATTACAACTTTCCTTTCTTATCTAGTGTTGCAGAATAAAGAAAAAGTATTTACAAATTCCTACAAATTTAGAGCAAAGGATGGGACTTTTATTACTTTAAAGAGTCAGTGGTTTAGCTTCATGAATCCCTGGACCAAAGAACTGGAGTACATTGTGTCAAACAACACTGTGGTATTGTAAGTAATTCATGTGAATCCCCATGTTATTTTTTTTGTCTCAATTACAGTTAACATTAACAGAAATCAACCTCCTTAAGAAGGAGAACAAGACTAGAAAACATCAAAACTGCACAAAAAGCAGTTGAGTAACTTGGGAGAACATTTTTTTGCATTCGTCAGTTACTTTTATTTCAGGCTTAAGTCGTGGATGTGACTCTGAAAACTGTGCTCTTTCACAGTGGAAAAAATGAGGTGAAAGAGTTTCTTATTAAAGGAAGGATCTTTTAAGAAAAACAGATGTGAATAAATGGAAATGTTAAGTTCTGTTTTTTCTTCTAAGTTTTACAAGACTGCATGTGTCACTTGACCTAATTTTAAGTGCTTTTTGAGAGAGGGGCAGAGGCAATTTTATTTCCATTAAACCAAATTGTCAAGGGCTGTTTTAACCATTCTGTAGCTGCTTCGTGTCTTAAGTCACCACCTCTTTTGCCCATGGCCTTTTGCCTCAAGAAGACAGAGCAGTTAAGACAGTACATGGGACCCAACAGCCAAAGGCTGCTTTTGCCTGCCCTGGAGATCTGGGCATCTGCAGCTGTCTAGAAGAGGGAAGGGAGGCAGCAGCTGCTGGCAGAAGGTAGCCACTGCCCTCTTCTTGTAAGCAGTTGTTTCTGGTTAACTGGTCTGCCTCCTAGTAGCAGAAATGCTTTTCTGTCATGGAACGCATATAACTGTATTGGCTTTTCTTCTTTATTTGGGAAGGAAGTGGAAATTAGTATTTCACCCAGTGCTTCAGAAACAATATAGAGGATTGAACATTGAAATGTGTGAGGATTATGTCATTATTTTATTAGTTTGAGGTTGTTAGTTTTTACTCTGCAGGAAGTACTATTGAAATGAAATGTAAATATGCTGGGTTTTATCTTTGAAAAACTTGCTGATGTATTTATTTATTTAAATCTCAGGGGTCATAATGAGTCAGCTGAAGAACAGGCCCTCTACAGTTCCCAGCCTGCAGAAGGCAAGTGTTGCTTCTTATAGTTATCATAAGTGCACTTCCTGGTCAATCGTTGCAATTTTAGATTTATTCAGTCCAGAAATTCTCTTATTCTAAGTTGTTCTCCAAGGAATGATTAATTTTTTTCAAAGCTAATTCTTGTGACAATTTCTAGCTACTTTGCTGCATTCTAAATCATTCACATAACTGTGATCAGAAGGGCTTGTAGCATATCTTTTCCTAGTAGCAGCTTCTCCTATAGCTAGGATTTTGGTTGATAGGATATTATGCTTCTGTCAGAGACTCTTCCCATGTGTTGACTGGTTTTCTGAAGAAATAAAATTGTGCTATTTAGTATCCTGTAGGCTATAGGGTGATACTGATACATATTTTCTTAATATTTTTCTGCTGTGCATGGATTCTGATTTCTACATGCTGTTTGATCATCCTGCTATAAGGTTTATTTTTGCTTTTGAAGTTGTTCTTTGTAGTAACTAATTTAAGTTTGTGAAAAATCCAAGCTGTGGGGTTTTCTCCCTGCATGCGTTTTACATTGTCTGTGAGAGAGACTGAGGGTTATAATGATGAAAGCTAATTTTCAGTAATTTCCACAAGTACATAATTGACTTATCTTTATATTTCAAATGACATTTACACACCCTGCCCCATGAGTTAGAGTTTTAAGGAATTGAATTTCTGAAAACAAGAGGCATAACAAAAACTACTTTTAAAAGTAATTGTTGAGGTGATTGTTCCTTGCTGTGTAATGAAACTGCTACCTACCTAAGGTTTTATTTTGGTTTTTTTAACTGTAGATGCTGTAAAACAGTCTTTAGTAAGTGTACCTGGAATGTCCTCTGGAACGGTTCTTGGTGCTGGAAGTATAGGAACCGAAATTGCAAATGAAATATTGGAATTGCAAAGGTAATAAACACTTAACATAATACGTTAGGCTTTTAAGTAAATATAGAGAAGAGGAACTCTTGATTATGGGAGGATTGTTCACATTTTATTTCGTGTTATTTGTGTAGAATATTTTTAGATTGAGCAGTTGCATTATGAGGTGCCAGTTATAACCTCGTGTTAGTCTCATGCATGGCAGAACACATCACTGGTATTGATAAATATTTTTTTTTCTAAGCATGCAATTTCCTTTGTTAATGAAAGTAGTATTTAAATATGACTTCAAAAATGTTACTGTGATGCAGCTTCTTCACATGATATTGAAATGGGTAGATAAACCATTTGGGGATGGAAAATCAGTTGTCCATGAATAGTGGGTTTATTTTCCTAATAGCCTTGCTCTGCTAGGAAAGCTTTCTGTGAAAGTCTCCCAAGTGAAATGCTTTCATAGCCTGTACTGTCCCGTTTCTTGTTATCCTGTGTGTAGACTAAAGTGGTAGCACAGTTTCTCCTAGTACCCAGCAGTAGATTTTAAAAAATCAACTCACTGCTTCATTCCAAATAGGAATCCATACAAAATTCAAATTGTTAATTCAAGATGAACCCTTTTAAAACTAACTTGTTTTCTCAGGTACACAGCATAGCCAAGGAATTCAAAAGGAAGAAACATAATTTTAATGTGAAGATATCCTTATGTATTTTTGTGTTGCACACCCACAGTGGTGTCTGACTTATAAGGGGAGAGGTTATTACATTATGTCGGTTTGTGCTGTATCAGCACAGTTAGGAAATTTTTTAAGAAGTCTATGAGTACCCTGATTCCAGGACTTTGGGATGCACATGCACAGGAAAAGTCTATTTTCAGTCACAACTCTTTCAGAAATTAAAGCTTCATCGGAACATCCAACCATTTTTGTTAAGGTCAAATTTAGGATAATGGCACTATCATCAGCATGCAACAAGTTACCTAAGCATTAACTTCGGGTAATGAAGCCATTGCTCAGACTTTAGATCTTTTACTTCCAGTTCCAGGTAAAGGAATGCCAAGAATTTTTTCACGTCTGCAGAGCAGTGTGTTCCAGGGTCCCATGTAGTTCTTTCCACTAGTACTTTTGCAACTGAACCTGAATCTTCCAGGAAGTACACCGCTTTTTGGCAACAATGGTAAAGATATAAGGAGTAGTTTCATATCGTAGAATATTCTGAGTTGGAAGGGACCCATGAGAATCATCGAGTCCAACTCCCGCCTCTACATGGGCCAACCTAGAAGTTGAACCATATATTGAAGAGTGCTGTCCAAACACTCTTCTGGAACACGACAGGCTTGGAGTCATGACCGCTTCCCTGGTGAGGTTGTTCCAGTGCTTGACCATCCTCTCAGTGAAGATCTTTTTCCTAGTATCTTCCCCTGATACAGCTTTAAGCCGTTCCCCGTATCTTATCACTGGACGACAGAGAAGACAGCAGCACCTCTCTCTCTGCTCTCCTTCTTATGGAAGCTGTAGACAGCAACGAGGTCCTCTCGTTCTCCTCTAAGCTGAACCTAGTATCCTCAATTGTTACTCATAAGTCATGCCCTCTGGTCCTTTCACCATCTTCGTTGCCCTCCTTTGGACACATTCTTAGTTTTTATACCCTTCTTAGATTGTGGAGCCCCAAACTGTGCACAGTACTCAAGGTGAGGCCACACCAGTGTTGAGACCGATGGGGCAATGACTTCTCTTGACTAGTCAGCTACACCATTGTCCCTCTTGGCTACCAGGGCATGTCGTTGACTCACATTGAGCAGACTTCCAAGATCTCTTTCTGCGGGACTGCATTCCAGCCTCTTCTCCAGTCTGTACATACATCACAGCTTATCTGTGAGGGTGTTAAGGGAAACAACGTGAAGACCTTTACTGAAGTGGAAGTAAACAACATTCAGTGTTACATTCTCATCCATTCTCAAGCTAGTCACCTCCTTGTAGAGGGCTGTCAGGTTGCTTAAGTGTGATTTCCCCTTCATAAATGCATGCTGAAGTCCACGATTACATGTTACCTCTTCACAGTGTGGTTATCTTCTTGGATATATCTTCGGCAGAAGACAGTATTTAATTTTCTGGAACAGTGAAAACCATGGTCAGAGCCTAAGAGTGTGATGAGTGACAGTGGTAGGCAGTTCTTACTCTGTTTCAAGTATTTTGGCATCTCCTTCCAACAATGAAGTCACGTTCCTGTACTAGAATAGTCAAATTGCGCAGGGAATCATTCATTTTCAATGAAAGGAATAAAGAAATAAACACTTTAATTATCATAGGATTACAAGATTGCTACCTAAAAAAAAATAAATTAAAAAACCCTCCCACAGCATGTTGGCAGATTGCTGGGATTATCCAGAAAGAAGGAGAAGAAGCAGTGGCAACAAGAAAAGGTTTGATACCTTCAACAGCAAAGATAAAATGATACATTTTGGAATAACATTGTTAATGCTCTCTCATCAGTACCACCTGTAGAGGGAAGGAGAGTCACAGTTAATATCGAGGCATGGCCCAAGAGCTTGAGTCTTGTTCTAGATGCTTCAATCAGTGCAATGTGATGTTCCTGATTGAGATCACTTGATCTTTACTGAAGATGCTCATCCATGTGAGCATACATGTCATCGGCTTAAGGAAACCACTTAAGTAGATGAATAATAGATTTGCTGGATGATCAAAAAAATGAATGCAATCCTGGGACAGTTTTCTTCAAAGCTACCCCATTGAAAGCTCTGATACTTGTGTTTTTAAGAACCACAAGCAATGCTGTTTCTCTTCGTATTGCTACAGAGGCAGCAGTTGCAAGAGCAGTGTCTTTCTAAGCAACAGAAGGAAATTTTGTGAACTTTGTATGAAGACCAAACCAACCCATTACTCCTGTGACAGTTCAGTGGATCACAAGAAAGCAAACTCTATCTGTTTTTTAGTCTTAGGAAACATAAGAATCCGTTCGGACAGAACTGGGGAATTTGGAGAAGAGATTATGGTACTGAATTAGTCTCCCCAAGTTGGGAGAATTTTTTCTAAGAGTGGAATTTTTTTTTTTTCCAGTCTGTTTAAATGGAATTCAGCTGTACAGTTGAGGCCAGTATGACTGAGGCCACCTTAGGAATATTTATGGGGAATATTTATTATTTCATATCCTGCTTGATCCCAAAGAAAGAATGGGTTTTGCTAGGCAGAAATTGATCCTATTTATCAGAAAGTCCAGCTTCCACAGTATTAACAGCAGCACAGTTTTCTGCATGCCTGCCTATCAAAAGCTTGAAGCTCATGCTGCGTACCTCCCTACCTGTCAGAGATCTGTTGTGCAGATGTCTTGATTTCATCATATAGGTAGAGCATGGCTTTACGCTGTTGTGGAACAGCAGTTTAAAGCAGCAGGATGTTTACCCCAGTTTGTCTGATTTACCGAAACATCTTGTCAGGAAGATCCCAGTGATAGTTCAGACTTGCTTCCAATTTAAAATGCAAGGTTGCTAGGAGAAGGAAAAAACTGCAAGTCTGGATTCAAAGAACTGCTTCCCAGGACCAATATTAGTGAACATGCTGGCAGTGATGAGCACATGCCTCAAGAAGCTGAATCATGTCTTATTCCTCAAGTTGTTGATTAAACTTCATTTTTTTCCGGTTATGTTTACATCTTGAACACTGGCTGGTAAGTGAAACAATGTATTGCTTGCTTTGGGAATAGCAGTCTTATTTCTCAACTAGCAGACTGAATGTCACAAGATTTTGAAAGAAAAGGTGATCTGCTTGCCAGGTTCATCAGCCACACTCATCTGAGCTGTTTTAGTCTTGTGCATGTGTGCTTGCTTCGATGATCTTAGTAGTCCATGGGCACTGGCAAATCGAAAAATAAGCTTGTGCTGAAACTAATATCCCAGGAAGATGCTATGCAGGTGAAAGAAAAGGTCAAGAGGAAAGTCATGCAGAATAAGGTAAATTGTGTCCAAAAGGAAGGGCAGTTCTGAGGAGAAGCCAGCTATGGAAGGGAGCAGTTGCACTGTGTGACTGGGATGCCTGGCAGTCATACTCAGCCTACAGTCCCGTATCTTGAGGGAAGATAAGCCAGAGGCATTCACAAGCATAATTGGCCATTGAAGGCCTCATCAGTAAGAACTGAATGTTTTTGGAGATGTCTGGATGTAGTGGCTTGCACCCAGCTGTAGTTCAGTTTTCCAGAATTGTTGCTGTGTTTCTTTCCAGCCGTAGAGTAGAACTTGCTATTTCTTTGATTTTTCTTCTGTATGAAATCAAGTTACTATCTTGCACGCAGTGAGGCAGTCAAAATTAGACAATGATCGACAGAGGCTAACACCAGCTGCTTATCATCAAATACCTTTGTGATTACAAATACAATCCAATAAGAGTGCATTTGCTACCTGAATCTGCTCTCTGCACTTTTGTATCAGTAAGACCCAGATGGTTTTAAAGCTGTGCATCAGGTGTCACCAATTAAAAAAAAATGATAAAATCAGGACTATTCCTTCAGCTGTATTTACAAGCATATCTGAATTGAATTAACATCTGATAAATGGTTGTTTCAGGTACAGCAATGCTATAAGTCTATTCAATCTGGAGTTTCTGTTCCAGCTTTTAGAAATAGCAGTACTGTTTATCAGACAGAGTATTGGATGTAAGGAATTGGATATAGGATATTGGAATGTCATCGTCATGGCTAGGCTTCGCGAACAAAGATATGG